CGTGTCCTGATGGGTCCAAGGCCTCGTCCTCTGCCCACTGGGACATGGAACACAGGATGGGGACATAGGACATGGGACATAAGGTGGGGACGTGTGTCCTAGTTAGAACAGCTGGGACCAGTTCATCATTGTATGGGCGTAACCCAAAACTGTGTATTCTATAGCCTTCCATGCCATTTCCCAGAAACTGTTATCAATGAACCATTTACACCATCTGCACATAGAGCCTGACTCCTCAGGCTATAAACTAGGTGTTAAGAGACCTACGAGATAGGAGGGTGCTCTTGTCCTCACGCCCATTGAGGGACCCCCCCCCACCCCACCCTGAGGGAGGTACTGGGCATTCCTGCCTGAACTGGAGGATATATAATCTTGGAGTCTTGGGACTTTTTTAACCACTCGTGGGATCCAGAGGAAGACTGCAGACCACCGCTCTCAACCAGACTGCAGACCACCACTCTCGACTGGACTGCAGTCACCAGTCTTGACCAGACTGCACCAGCACTCTCACCAACAGGTTTTTCCCGTCTCCTTTTACTTTGGACTCAGAGGGCCCAAAGAACACCACTCTGTTCATGCCCCAGGGTGTTGGAGGATGCAAATTGTGTGAACAATTTCTATTGCATTTCTGTCAGCTTCGCCTTGGCATGGCTGGGTGCAGACAGTAAAAAATACTGCGCCACTAATATGGCTGCAGGCCTTGTGCCAAGGTGAAGGAGGAGTTCTTTTGGCAGGTAAACAAGTTTTATGGACACCTGCTGTGGTCCAATTAGCAGTGGACAACAAAGTATGTTTTCCTTATGTATCCAATGTAGTGTGAACAAGAACTGTGTGTCATTAGCAGTATATATGCTGTCTTTCCTCTAATAAAGGGGACATTTTTGCCGGTCATATTGATCTGTGAGCATTCTGTCTATACTCCTCCACCGATACCAGGGTGCTGGGTTATACATTTGGGTTTTGTGGGTTAAACCCAATTGTTTGTCTGTATAATTGTACTTATTGTATTATTTTATTAAATTGTTATTCTGACTTATAATCTCTCTTTTGAGTTGAGTTCATTTTCCCTTGCTGGTTTACCTTTAAACCAGCACAACGTGGGACATGGGATGTGGGACGTGGGATGGGGTTGTGGGAAATGGGATGGAGATGGGAGACATGGGATAAGGACGCGGGACATGGGATGGGGAGGTGGGACATGGGATGGGATTGATGGGACATGGGAGGGGGATGTGGGACATGGGATAAGGATGTGGGACACGGGATGGGGATGTGGGACATGGGATGTGGGACATGGGAGGGGGATGTAGGACATGAGATGGGGATGTGAGACATGGGATGGGGACATGGGACATGGGATAGGGATGTGGGACATGAGATGTGGGACACGGGATGGGGATGTGGGACATGGGATGTGGGACATGGGAGGGGGATGTGGGGCATGGGATAAGGATGCAGGACAGGGGACATGGGATAAGGGACACAGGATGGGGAGGTGGGACATGGGATAAGGATGTGGGACATTGGGTGGGGACGTGGGATGGGGACATGCCCCCCTCCATGGGGTGGCACTGCCGTGGGGGGAGGTGACAGCATTTGGGGGGGCAGGTTTGGGGGCTGTGGGAGGTTTTGGGGTGAATCCCATCAGTTTTGGGGTACAGGGATATTTGGGGTGAATCCATGGGGATTTGGGGTGAATCTGTGGGGATTTGGGGAGGAATCCATTTAGTTTGGGGGTGAATCTCTCCTGACTTGGATCTCTGGGAGGTTTTGGGGTGAACCCCATCAGTTTTGGGGTAAAGGGAGGCATTGGGGGAAATCCGTGTGGATTTGGGGGTGAATCCGTGCGAATTTGGGTCTGTGGGAATTTTGGCGGGGCGGGCTGAATTCCTTCAGTTTGGGGGTCTGGGGACAGTTTGGGGTGATCCACATGGATTTTGGGATGAATCCATGTGGATTTGGGGTGGAACTGGGCAGTTTGGGGGGCGAATATCTGTGAGTTTGGGTCCGTGGGAGCTTTTGGGGTGAATCCCCTCAGTTTTGGGGTTCAGGGAGGCTTTGGGGCAGACCCCTGTGAATTCGAGGTGGACCCTTGTTGGATTCAGGGTGAATCTGTGTGGATTTGGGGTGGAACTGGGCAGTTTTGGGGGTGAATCCCCATGAGCTCCAGGTCCGTGGCACATTTTGGGATGAATCCCTTTTGTTTGGGAGGTTTCAGGGTGGTTTGGGGGTTTTGGGGGCCCGAGCGCCCATTTTTGGGGTGAATCACGAGGGGTTTTGGGATGAGCTGGACTTGATGCCCCCCCTGGGGACCCCCTGGAACCCCACCCACCCCCCCGCCTCCACAGGAAGGCGCCGAGACCCGGGTGAGTCACCCCCGACCTGAGTCACCCCAGGAGAGGTGGGGGGATGCTGGGGGTATGGGGGGGGAGTTGGGGGGCTTTGGGTGCTGGGAGGGGTCTGGGTGAGGGGTGGGGGGATTGGAGGTGTCTGGGTGCTGAGGGGGGAGTTTGGGAGTCTCTGAGTGTTGGGAGGGGTCTGGGTGCTGGGGGGGGTCTGGGTGAGGGGTAGGAAGGTTAGGGGGGTCTCTGGGTGCCGGGGGGGGGAGTTTGGGGGGCTCTGGATGCTGGGAGGGGCCTGGGTGAGGGGTAGGGGTGCTGGGGGTGTTCAGGGTTCGGGGGGGGCAGTTTGGGGGGTCTGGTTGTTGGGGGGGTTTTGGGAGGGGTCTGATTGTTGGGGGGGTCCCAGTGGGGGGATCTGGGTGAGGGGGAGGAGTTGGGAGGGGTCTGGGGTTTTTTTTGGGGTGGTGCCTGGGGGGGGAAGGTTTGGAGGGGTCTGGGGGGGATCAGGGGTTGGGGGGGGGTCTGATTGTTGGGGGAAGTTTTGGGGGGGGTCTGGTTTTTTTGGGGGGGTCTGAGTGGGAGTTTTGGGAGGGTCTGGGTTTCTTTTGGGGTGGTCTGGGTGAGGAGAGGGAGTTTGGGGGGGGTGGTTGTTGCGGGAAGTTTCAGGAGGGGTCTGGTTTTTTGTAGGGAGTCCTGGGTGAGGGGGAATCTGATTGCTGGGGGAAATTTTGAGAGGGGTCTGGTTTTTTTGGAAGGGGGGTCTGGGTGAGGGAGGGAGTTTTGGGAGGGGTCTGTTTTTTGAGGGGGGTCTGGTTGTTGGGGGTGTTTTGGGAGGGGTTTGTTTTCTGAGGGGGGGGTCTGGGTGAGGGGGGGGAGTTTGGGGGGTCTGTTTTGGAGGGGAGTTTTGGGAGGGGTCTGTTTTTTTGGGGGTGGTCTGGGTGGGGGGGACTTTGGGGAGGTCTGTTTTTTTGGAGGGGCTCTGGCTGAGGGGGGAAGTTTTGGGAGGGGTCTGCTTTTTGGGGGGGGTCTGGGTGGGGGGAAGTTTGGGGGGTCTTGTATTTTTGGGGGGGGCTCTGATTGTTGGGGGGAGTTTTGGGAGGGGTCTGGTTTTTTGGAGGGGTCTGGGTGGGGGGGGGAGTTTTGGGAGAGGTCTGCTTTTTTTAGGGGAGAGTCCTATCTCTGCACACCCGTGTCGTTGCCATGACAACGTGCACACGCATGACGTGGGAGGGGGACACACTCCCTCTCGTGTCCCCCCACCCCGTTTCACGTGTGTCCAAATGTGACCCAGACGTGTCCCCCCCCACCCCCGCGTGGTGAATAATCCTCGTCGCGACGCCTCTTTTGGGTGGAAAAACGGCGATTTTGGGTTCCTGAGGAAATTCCTCTCCCTTTACTCCTTCCTTCCTCCCCCCCTCCCCCCCCCCCCCCCCCCCCCCCTCACAATGGCCAATTTTGGGCAAAAATTGCCCGAAAAAAGGGGACTTTTTTCCAGCATTCTTTCGGGGGGGGGGGATTTTGGGGAGTCTATGGGGGTGTTGAGGGGTCTATGAGGGTGTTGGGGGGGCTATGGGGCACTGGGGGGTCTATGGGGATGTTAGGGGTCTATGAGGGGTCTTTTGGGGGGTTGGAGGTTTATGGGGGTCTTTGGGGGGCCTATAGGGGGGTTGGGAGGTCTATGGGGGTCTATAGGGGATCTATGGGGGTTTGAGGATCTATCGGACACTGAGGGTCTCTATGGGACACTGGGACAGCCCCCCCCGACCACCCCAAACTGCCTGACCCCGGTGGGGGGGGGGGGTCACAGACGTCTGGACCCCCCGGAGTTTCCTCCCCCTGCCCGTGCTGTCACCACAGCTGCCACCACGTCACCCCGCAGGAAGGGGCCCCGGTGACATCGGGGTGACATCGGGGGGGGGAGGGCAAGGAGAGGGCGGAGAGGGGTGCAGGGAACCCTCGAGATCACGGGGGACACGGTGGGGACATGGGGGGCACAGAGGTCATGGGGGATATGGAGAGACACGGGGGGGGACAGGGGGCATGAGGAGACAGGAGGGGCACAGGCGGGACATGAAGGGACATGGGGGCACAGGGGTCATGGGGGATATGGGGGGCATGGGAGGGCACCGGGGAGACATTGGGGGACATGGGAGGACATGAGGGGCACAGAGGGATATGGGGGACATGGGGGGCACAGGGGGACATGGGGGGCACAGGGGATGTGGGGGGACATGGGGGGGACATGGGGGGACACAGGGAGCATAAGGGGACACGGGGGGCACAAGGGTCAGGGGGGATATGAGGGGACATGGGAGGACACGGGGGGGACACGGGGGACATGGGGGGGGTCACAGGGGTCACAGGAAGGGACACAGGACATGGGTGGTGACGTGTGGGAGGGGGACACTCGTGAAAACATATCCCCCCGGGGGTCACAAGGGGGTCACAAGGGGTCACGGGGGACGGGGGCGGTCAGAGGGGACACAGGGGACACTTGAGGGGGGGCACAGCGGACACGGGGGGTCACAGGGGGACGGGGGGGGCATGGGGGGTCACGGGGGTCACGGGAAGGGACACAGGACATGGGTGGTGACGTGGGGGGGACACGCGTGGAAATACCCCCCTTCCCGCTCCCCCTCCCTCTCCCCGCCCCCGCTCCTCCCTTTAAAGGCGCCGCCGGGACCGGAGGCGGCTCCAGAGCCGGGATCGGGACACTGGGAACGGGACACCGGCAACAGGCTCAGGACACCAGGACTTGTATCAGGACACCGTGATTGAGACCAGGACACCGGGAACCGCTCCGGGATCGGGATCGGGACACCGGGACTGGGGTCAGGATACTGGGAACGACACCAGGAATAGGACACTGGGAGTGGTATCAGGACACCGTGAACGGGATCAGGGTACCGGGAATAGGACACCAGGACTGGGATCAGGACACTACGAACAAGAGCAGAATACTGGGAATAGGACACTGTGACTGCAATCAGGACACCAGAACCAGCCCTAGGACACCAGGAATAACAGCGGGACACCGGAACCAACAGGAGACACTGGGACCAACACCAGGAATGTCACTGGGACACTAGGACTGACACTGGGATCAAGAGCAGGACACTGGGACCAAGAATGGGACCACGACCGGGACTGATCCCAGGACACCAGGACTAAACCCCAACGTCTGTTGGGATTGAGAGCAGGACCAAGACCAGGACAGCGGGAGCAACACCAGGAGCAGAGTTGGGATACTGGGATCAAAACCAGGCTGACACTGGGACCAAAACCAGGCTGATACTGGGACCAAAACCAGGCTGATACTGGGACAGCAGGAGCAACACCAGGACTGAGACCAGGTGAGGGGGCAGTGGGACTGGGACCAGCACCAGGATGGGGACTGGGGCTGGGACTGGGACCGGGACCAGCAGAAGAACTGGGATTAAGACCAATACTGGGACTGGGATGGGAGCTGACACAAGGATTGGGACCAGCACTGGGACTGAGACTGGGACCTGAACTAGGTTTGGGACTGGGACCAGCACTGGGACTGTGACTGGGACCTGAATTGGGACCAGCACTGGGACTGACATTGGAACCAGTACCAGGATCGGGACTGGGACCAGGACTGGTATTAGGATTGGGAGCAGCACTGGGGGTGAGGTTGGGGCTGAGGTTAGGGCTGACATCAGGACTGGGATCTGGACTGGGACCAGCAGCAGGACAGGGATTAGAATCGGGGGCTGGAAGCAGCACTGGGATTGGAATTAGGATCAAGACTGGAATTAGATTTGACACCAGGACTGGAACCAGCACTGGGACTGGGGCTGACACCGGGACCGGGACCAGCCCCAGTGTCCTCACAGGGGCCACCCCAGTGACCCTCCTGTCCCTGCAGGACCGTGATGTCCCCAACATCCCTGCTGGTGGCCCTGGTGGTGGCCCTGGTGGCCCTGGCGGGTGCCGGCACCCCAGTCCCGGGCCAGGTGTCTCAGTTGGTGACGGATTTCGGGCTCCGGCTCTTCCGGGCAGCTTTGGGACCCCGAGGGGACACCAATGTGGTCCTGGCCCCCCATGGGGCCACCTCGGTGCTGGTGGCCCTCCAGGTGGCCACGGCTGGGCGGGGCCGGAGGCAGCTCGAGGAGGCCTTGGGGTTCAGCATTGACGGTGAGGGGGGGAAACACACTCGGGGGGGAGGGGGGGGACGTGGACACACCAGGGACACCTCAGGGACACCCTGAGGTTGTTATGCCCATAGGGGAGGACATGGACACACTGGGGACACCCTGAGGGACACCCCAGGGACACCACAGGGGACACCCTGAGGGACATCCCAAGGACACCCCAGGGGACAATCCAGGGGACAAGCCAAGGTTGTCGAGGTCATTGTGGCCATAGGGGGGAACATGGACACACTGGGGACACCCCAGGGGACACCTCAGGGGACACCCTGAAGAACACCCCAAGGGAACCCCATGCACACCCCAAAGGACACCCTGAGGGACACCCTGAGGGACACCTTGAGGTCGTTGTGCCCATGGGGGGTGGGATGTGGGGTCCTCTCCCTACTGGGGACACTTTGGGGTCCCTGTCTCCATACTGGGGTGAGATTGGGGTCCCCACCCCCACAGGGGACACTTTGGGGTCCTTGTCCCCATGGGGGGGGAGTCTTTGTCCCCATGGGCAGGGCTTTTTCTCCATCGACAGGGTCTTTATCCCCATGTTCGGATGGGATTGCGGGACCCCACCCCCACAAGGACCACCCTTCCCCCCCACCCCCCCCTCCCCTCCCCCCGCAGTGGGTGCCCCCCCCGCCCCTCCCTGACCCCATTTGTTCCCCCTCCCCAGCCCCGGGGGTCTCGGCAGAGCTGCGGGAGCTGCGCCGGGCCTTGGAGGGGGGTCCCGGGCAGGGCCTGGCGGTGGCCGAGGGGCTCTTTGTGGGGCGGGGGGTCGCGCTGACCCCCGGCTTCGCCCGCCGGGCCCTCCGAGCCCTCGGACCCCGCAGCGTGGCCCGGGTGGACTTCGCTCGGCGGGAGGGGGCACGGACCCTCCTCGACTCCTGGGTGCGGGAGAGGACCAAGGGTGAGACCCCCGGGGTGGGGGGTGAGGGGCAGGGGGTGGCGTTTGGGACCCTCAGGGTGGCAGGTGGGGGGGGGAGGCTTGGTACCCCCGGGGTGGGGGGTGAGGGGAGGGGGGGGGAGGTTTGGGACTCCCGGGGTGGGGGGTGAGGGGTCTGGGGTCCCCTGGGTTACTTGGGGAGGGGGTGGGGGGCGTTTGGGACCATTTTGGGGGGGGTGGTTGATGGGTTCAAAGATCCCCAGGGTGGAGGGTGATGGGTGGGAGATCCCTTTTTGGCGGGGTCAGAGGTTGTGGAGACCCCTGGGACCCTTTTGGGGGGGTCACTGTGTACCCCCGCCCCCTGACCCCCGTGTCCCTTTTTTGCGGGGAGGTGTCAATGGGTATGGAGACTCCTGGGACCCTTTTGGGGGGGGGTGTCAATGGTTGTGGGGACCCCCGTGTCCCTTTCCGGGGGGGGGGGTCACTGTGTCCCTGACCCCCTCCCCGTGTGTCGCCCCATCCCCAGGTCTGTTGGGGTCCCTGGTGCCCCCCGGGGCTCTGGGTCCCCGCACGCGCCTGGTGGTGGTGAGTGCGCAGTTCTTTCGGGGTGGGTGGGCGACCCCCTTTTCCCCCCGGGCCACCCGCGCCCGCCCCTTCCGCAGGGCTGATGGCAGCGACGTCGCCGTACCCATGATGGCCCGGGCGGGCACGTTCCGCTGCGGTGAGACCCCCCTCATGTCACCTCTTGTGTCACCTGTGTCACCCCCCCGTGTCACCTCTTGTGTCACCCCCTTGTGTCACCCCCCCCGTGTCACCTCTTGTGTCACCTGTGTCACTCCCCTGTGTCACCCTGGGGGTCCCTGTGTCACCCTGTGTCACCCCCCTGTGTCACCTCCCCGTGTCACCACTTGTGTCACCCCTTGCATCACCTGTGTCACTTGTGTCACCCCCCCACATCACCTCTTGTGTCACCTCCCTGTGTCACCCCCCCGACACCCCCCGTGTCACCTGTGTCACCCCCCTGTGTCACCTCTTGTGTCACCTCCCTGTGTCACCCCCCTGGCACCCCCTGTGTCACCTGTGTCACCTGCATCACCTGTGTCACCCCCTATGTCACCTGTGTCACCTGCATCACCTGTGTCACCCCCCTGTGTCACCTGTGCCACCCCCCCCCCGTGTCACCTTCTGTGTCACCCTGGGACCCCCTGATGTTACCCCCAGAGTCCCCTTGTCACTCCCTGCCACCCCCTGTGTCACCCCCCCGTGTCACCCACTGTGTCACCTGTGTCACACCATGTCCCCCTCATGTCCCCCATCTCCCATGCCCCTCCCTTCCCCCGCCCCCCTCGTGTCCCCTCTGACCCCCCCCTTGTAACCCCCTCCAGGGGAATTCGAGACGCCCGCGGGGGTCCCATACTCGGTGGTGGAGGTCCCGTACGAGGGAGGGGCGGTGTCCATGCTGCTGGTGGCCCCCCTGGAGCGGGATGTTCCCATTGTCACCCTCACCCACCTCCTGGACAGTCCCCGTGTCACCCACTGGGTCACCAACCTCAGCCCTGCCCCCCGCCTACTCGTCCTGCCGCGGTGAGACCCCCGGGGACACGGGGAGGGGACACTGGGGACACCGGGGGGACATTGGAGACACTGGGGACAGCTGGGGACACTGTGTGGGGGAAACAGGGTCCCCTGGACCCCTGAGGACACTGGGGACACTGGGGGGGGACATTGAGGGGGGACACTGGGGACACTAGGAGGACACTGGGGGGACAACATTAGGGACATTGGGGACAAAGAGAATCCCTCAGATCCCTTGGGACCCCCAGGTACCCCTGGACTCCTGGGGACACTGAGGGGGGAGGAGGGGGGGGAACAGGGACCCCTGGACCCCTGAGGACACTTGGGGACACTTGAGTACAGGGACCCCCCAGGCCCTTGGGGACACTGGGGACACTTGGGGACATCTGGGGACACTGTGTGGGGGGAACAGGGTCCCCTGGACCCCTGAGGACACTGGGGACACTGGGGGGGAACATTGAGGGGGGACACTGGGGACACTAGGAGGACACTGGGGGGACAACATTAGGGACATTGGGGACAAAGAGAATCCCTCAGATCCCTTGGGACCCCCAGGTACCCCTGGACTCCTGGGGACACTGAGGGGGGAGGAGGGGGGGGAACAGGGACCCCTGGACCCCTGAGGACACTTGGGGACACTTGAGTACAGGGACCCTCCAGGCCCTTGGGGACACTGGGGACACTTGGGGACATCTGGGGACACTGTGGAGATGGGAACAGGGACCCCCTGGACCCGTGGGGACACTTGGGGATCGCCCCCTGCCCGCCCCCTCCAGCTTCTCCCTGGAGACCATGTGGGACCTGCGGCCCCCCCTCAAGTCCTTGGGGGTCCTTGACCTCTTCGACCCCGAGGTTGCCGACTTCACCCCCCTCTCAGGTAAAGGGGGGGCTGGGGAGCATGGGAGGGGCTCCTGGGGGTCATTGGGGGGCACTGGGGGGGACACTGGGAGGGTCTGGAGGGGCACTGGGAGGGCACAGGGGGGTCCCTGGGAGGGGCCCTGGGGGGGTCTCGGGGGTCCAGGGGAGGGTCTGGGGCGTCCCTGGGGGGGCCTGGGGGTCCCTGGAGGGATTTTTGAGGGAGTCTTGGGAGTCCCTGGGGGGGGGTCCAGGGGGTCCCTGGGGAGTCCTAAGGGTCCCTGGGGGAATCTGGGGGGGCACTGGGAGGGTCTGAGGGGTCCTTGGGGGGTCCTGGGGATCCCTGGGGCATTCCAGGGATCCTTGGGGGGGCACTGGAGTGGTCCTAGGAGGGTCTGGGGGGTCCTGGGCATCCCTGGGGGGGTCTGGGGGTCCCTGTGGGGGTCTCAGGATCCCACTCGACCCCTCCTCTTCCCAGGGGAGGAGCAGCTGGTGCTGGGCCAGGCCCTGCAGAGAGTCCGGATGGAGGTGACCGAGAATGGCACCGAGGTGGCCTCAGCCACCGGTGGGTGACACTGGGGGCCCCTGGGGCGGTCTGGGGATCTCTGGGTGGTCCTGGGGGCATTGGGGGGTCCTTGGGGGAGTCCTGGGAGTCCCTGAGGGGGTCCAGAGTGGTTCTGGGGGCACTGGGGGGTCCTTGGAGGGGTCCTGGGAGTCGCTGGGGGAGTCTCTGGGGGGTCCTGGGGGTCCTTGAGGGGTTCCAGGGTGTCCCTGGGGATGTCTGGAGGGCTCTTGGGGGTCCCTGGGGAGTCCTAGGGGTCCCTGAGGGGCACTGGTGGGCTTGGAGAGGGCTCCAAGACCCCCTTGGATCTCATTTCCCCTTCCCCCCGCTTCCCCTTTCCCACAGCTGCCATTGTTTATTCCCGGATGGCCCCCCTGGAAATCATCCTGGATCGGCCCTTCCTCTTCCTCATCCGACATGGCCCCACAGGTATTTGGGGATTTGGGGGTGGGGGGATTTGGCAGGGGACACACACACAAGGTGGGAAGGGGTGCCTGGGAGGCGTGGAGGTGAGTTTGGGGGGGCTTTGTTGCTGTTGGATTTGGGTTTGGGTGGGTCTGTGCCCCTTGGATTTGAGTCTGGGGGGCTTCATGTCCCATTTATGTGGTTCTGGGGGGTCTGTGCCCCTTAGATTTGGGTCTGGGGGTGTTTCATGTCCCATTTATGGGGGGGTCTGTGCCCCACGGATTTGGGTCTGGGTGGGTCTGTGCCCCTTGGATTTGGGTCTGGGGGGGTCTCTGCCCCACAGATTTGGGTTTGGGGGGGCTCCATCCCCCTTGGGTCAGGTATTTGGGGTCTGTGCCCCTTAGATTTGGGTCTGGGGGCGTTTCATGTCCCATTTATGTGGGGGGGGCTGTGCCCCATGAATTTGGGTCTGGAGGAGTCTGTGCCCCACGGATTTGGGTCTGGGTGGGTCTGTGCCCCTTGGATTTGGGTTTGGAGGGGTCTCTGCCCCACAGATTTGGGTCTGAGTGGGTCTATGCCCCATGGATTTGGGTCTGGGTGGGTCTGTGCCCCTTGGATTTGGGTCTGGGGGGGGTCTCTGCCCCACGGATTTGGGTTTGGGGGGGCTCCATCCCCCTTGGGTTGAGATTTAGGGGTCTGTGCCCCACAGATTTGGGTCTGTGGGGGCTCCCTGACCCCTCTCTTCCCCCACAGGTACCATCCTCTTCGTGGGGCAGGTGACGGAGCCCTGAGCGCCTCATGGGAGGGAGGGTGTCACCCCACATCGAGGTCACCCCACAGCTGGGGGGTTCCCCACAGGGTCTGTGGGGCCAGGAGAGCTGTAATTTATTGGGGAGAGTAATATATTTTGGGGGGTCACCCCCATGCTCCAGGGGTGGGGGCAGTTGTGTCCTGGTGTGGGGTCACCCCTGTCTTGGTTTTGGGGTCAACGTCCCATCTTGGATTTGGGGTCAATCATGGCCCGCTTTTGGGGTCAAAGTCGCACCTTGGGTTGGGGTCAATCATGCCCCAGATTTGGGGTCAAAGTCCCATCTTGGGTCAACCAACTCTGTCTCAGATTTGGAGTCAAAGTCCCATCTTGGATTTGGGGTCAATTGTGCCCCAGATTTGGGGTCAATCCCCTTTCATGGTGTTGGGGTCAATCATCCATCCCAGTGTTGGAGTCAACCTTGTTGGGGTCAAAGTTCCATCTCGGGTTGGGGTCAATCCTATTTCATGGTGTTGGTGTCAACGTCCCATCAGCCCCCATGTCCCCTTTTTGGGGAAGCCTCTCCCTGTTGCCCTGGTGACAGGCCATGGCCACGTTGTCATAGTGACAGACCATGCCCCTGGAGTTGCCTTAAAAAGAGACCACACCCCCTCCCATCACCTTGGCAACTGGCCACGCCCCCATCCATTGCCTTGGAACCCGGCCACTCCCTTGGTGACAGGCCACGCCCCTTCGACTGGAAGCCCCTCCCTGTTTCCTCGGTTTCTGTTGCCCTGGCTACAGGCCACACGCCCTTGTCGACAAGCCCCTGTTGCCATGACGACAGACCACGCCCTTCCCCTTTGCCTTGAAAACAGGCCACACCTCCTCCCGTTGCCATAGCGACAGGCCATGCCTCCCTTTCCATTCTCTTGTTGACAGCCCACGCCCCCTTTTACGAGAAGCCCCATCCTATTCATTTGGCCACAGGCCACTCCCCCCACGTTGCCACTGCCTACAAACCGCGCCCCTTCAGTGTTTACATGACAACAAGCCTGCCGGGCCCCTCCCCCCCGTCCTTAACCGGAAGCGGCGTGCTGTGCGCGGTGACGTCACACCCGGAGGCGGTGGCCCCGGCGCGGCTCTGCCGGAGCGGCCCTGTCCGACCGCCCCCCCCCGGAGCCTCCCGGGACCCTCCCGGACCCCCCCCCCGACCCCCGGCCACGGCCCCGGCCGAGGCCCCGCCCCCGGGACACGGCGCTATGGTGAGTTGGGGGGGGGCTCCGGGGGGAGACTTTCGGAGGGGGAAGTCACGTGACCGGGGTCACGTGGTGCGCGGGGAGGCGAGGCATGATCATGACCCGGGGTGCGACCTTTGACCTCCTGACCCGGAGCTGGGCTCGGGTTCCCATGGCCCCACGTGACCGATCGTGATTTACACCCCCCCCAACCCCCCAGGAACCCTCCCCCCATTCCCTGAGCCCCCCCATGGCCCCCCCCATGAAACCTCCAAACCCCCACAGGGACCCCCCCGTGTCCCCTCGTGAGCCCCCAACCCCCAAGGGACCCCCCCATTACTGACACCCCTCCTGGACACCCCCCCAAAACCCAAAGAGATTCCCCCCATGGCTCCCCCAAACCCCACAGGGACCTTCCCCCTATTCCTTGACCTCCCCCCATGGCCCCCCTCGCCCCCAAACCCCACAGGGACCCTCCTCCCATTTCCTGATCCCTCCATGGCTCCCCCAAAACCCACGGGGACCCCCCATGAAACCTCCAAACCCCACAGGGATCCCCCCCTGTGTCCCCCCCCATGACCAAACCCACCTCCTGTCCCCCAGTGACCCTCCCAAGCCCCCGAGTGACCCCCCTGGCTCCCCCAGATGTGATTCCTGCTGCTCTTCAGCTTCTCACCCACTTAGACCCCCCCACTCCCTGACCCTAACCCCCCCAACCCCCCTAAACCCCTCCAAAGCCCCCCCAACTCTCCCCAAACCCCCTCCCCAAGCCCCCCAGTGACCCCCCCGCAGCCCCCCAAATGCAGTTCCTTCCACCAAGGGAAGCTGAGGCTGCAGAACCCCCCCCCTCTGTGACCCCAAAACCCTCCAAAATCCCCCCAACCCCCTCCCCAACCCCCCGGTGACCCCCCCGGCACCCCCAGATGCGGTTCATGCTGCTGTTCAGCTGCCAAGGGAAGCTGAGGCTGCAGAAATGGTACCTGGCCATGGCCGACAAGGACAAGAAGAAGATGCTTTGGGAGCTCATGCAGGTGGTGCTGGCCCGGAAACCCAAAATGTGCAGCTTCCTTGAGTGGAGGGACCTCAAGGTGGTCTTCAAGAGGTGAAGCCCCCTGCAAAAAACCCTCAGGGAAATCAGGTTTTCCACCCCAAAATGGCAGGTTTTTCCAAAAAAAAAAAAGGGGGCAGTTTATGACAAAAATAATGATGAAAAAGTGGGTTTTCACCCCAAAAAAGCGGTTTTTCTCCTCCCCAAAATCAGTTTATTCAAGGAAAGCTCGCCTTGCAGTGGAGAAAAGCAGTTTGCCCATTAAAAAAAGCGGCTTTTCCAAAAAAAAGCAGGTTTTTCACTAAAAAAGGAGCTTTTTTACAAAAAAAGGGAGATTTTCCACAAAAAAAGGAGCTTTTCCACCAAAAAAGAGCTGCTTTTCCACAAAAAAAGCAGCTTTCCCACCAAAAAAAGCATATTTTTCCCCAAAAACCCCCACCTTTCCCACCAAAAATCCATCTTTCCCACCAAAAATCCACCTTTCCCACCAAAACTCCACCTTTTCCCTGAAAAATCCACCTTTTCCACCTAAAAATCCACCTTTTTCCCTAAAAATCCCCCTTTCTTCCCAAATTCCATCTTCTCTCCCAAAAAATCCATCTTTCTCACACCAATTTTGGCCCCTCTCAACACCCCAAGTTGGGTTGGCCATTTTGACCACGAAGAGTTGGCCATGGTTGGGTTGACCATGGTGAGTACAACCCTCCCATATTTGGGGGTTCCTTGGGGACACCCCCCATCTCTAGGTGGGTTTTGGGGGATTCAGGGGTCCCCCCACCCCAATTTTGGCCCCCCCCGGTCCATTTTAATGCCTCCTGTGTTGGGTTGACCATGAAGAGTTGGCCATGAAGACTTGGCCATGGTTGGGTTGGCCAAGGTTGGGTTGACCATGGTGGGCACAACCCCCTCACCTTCGGAGGTTCCTTGGAGACAACCCCCATCTCTGAGTGGGGTTTTTGGGGGTCCAGGAGACCCTCCCACCCCCTTGTTACCCCCCCCCCAGGAATTTCAATGAGGCTCTGTAGTGTCCCAATGGCCCCTTGATTCCAGGAGTTTCCGCAATGTCCCAATAACCCCGTGGTTCCATGAGGCCCTGCAGTGTCCTAATGGCCTCCTGATTGCACAAGGTTTTGCAGTGTCTTGGTGTTCCTTTTGTTCCATGAGGGTCCGCAGTGGAACAGGGTCCCTTTGGGGCCATAAGGCCCTGCAGGGTCACAATGGGCCCTTAATTCCATGAGCTTCCACAGTCTCCAAAGGTTCCTTTAGTTCCATGAGGCCCTGCAGACCCAAAATGCCCTTTGGATTCTCGGAGATTTCACATTGTCTCAGGGTCCCTCATGCTTCAGAAGGAGCTGTAGTGGGACAGTGGCCCCTTGGTTCCGTGAGCTCTGCAGTGTTCCAGGAATCCTTGGGTTCCAGGAGGCCCTGCAGTTTCACAAGGAGCACTTGAATGCAGGAGTTTCGGCAGGGTCACAATGGCCCCTGGATTCTGGGAGGTTCAGAAATATTTCGGGGCTGAGAAAACTGGGATTGTTCAGCCTGGAGAAGAGAAGGCTTTGGGGTGACCTAATTGTGGCCTTCCAGTGCCTGAAGGGAGCCAACAAGAAAGATGGAGAGAGACTTTGGACAAGGGTCTGGAGTGACAGGACAAGGGGCAGTGGCTTCACATGGACCGAGGGAAGGGTTGGAGGAGATAGTAGGAAGGAATTCTTGAGTCTGACGGTGTTGAGATGCTCTTCAAGGCCCCTCCCAAGCCAAAGCATTCCATGATTCTGGGAGTGGTGGGTGAGGTGGTGGTCGGAGCCGTCTGGGGCACAGGGACCCAAAATGAGGGAGTTTTCCACTGTGGGGGAAGGAAGGAGGGGGCAGCAGAACTGACCCCTTGGACACCTGGCAGGCAGGTTTTGGCTGCCTGATTGGGAGCTGAGTGAAGCCCCCACAATGCAGGAGGAAATGGTCAGTGACCTGCTCTGCCAGTGAGATACCCCCAAGTGCCTGGGCCCACATGGGATGCACCCAAGAGTCCTGAGGGAGCTGGAGAAAGAGCTGGCCAAGCCACTCTCACTCATTCCCCAGCAGTGCTGCAGAACTGCACAAGTCCCAGCTGACTGGCAACAAGCACATGGGATGTCCATCCCCAGGAAGGGCCAAAAGGAGCATCTGGGCAACTCCTGGCCTATCCCATTGACCTCAGGACCGGGGAAGTCCATGCAGCAGATCCTCCTCAGTGCCATCCCATGGCATGGGCAGGACAACCAGGGGATCAGGCCCAGCCAGTGTGGGTTTGGGAAAGGCAGGTCCTGCCTGACCAACCTCATCTCCTTCTCTGACAAAGGACCCGCTCAGTAGCTGAGGGAAAGGCTGGGGATGTGTCTCTCTGGAATTCCAGAAAGCCTTTGGCACCATCTCCCCCAGCATCTCCTGCACAAACTGGCTGCTCATGGCTTGCCCAGGGGAACTGTTTGCTGGGTGACAAACTGGCTGATGGCTCAGGGAGTGGTGCGGAATGGAAGGAAATCCAGGTGGGGCCAGTCGCTAGTGGGGTTCCCAAGGGCTCAGGGTTGGGGCTGCTCCTGTTTAACATCATTATGGGTGATCTGGGCCAGGGGATCGAGTGCCTCCTCAGGAAATTCATGGACAACACCACGTTGGGTGTGAGTGTGGATGTGCTGGAGGGCAGGAAGGCTCTGCAGAGGGATCTGGACAGGCTGGATCAAGAAGGCCAAGTGTCAGGGCCTGCCCTTGGGTCCCAGCAACCCCCTGGAACGCCCCAGGCTGGGGGCAGAGGGGCTGGAGAGCTGCTCAGCAGGAAGGGACTTGGGGGTGCTGCTTGACAGGGGCTGGATATGAGGCAGAGTGTGCCCAGGGGGGCAAGAAGGCCAAGGGCATGGTGGCCTTTGTGGAGAAGAGTGTGGCCAGCAGGAGCAGAGAACTGATTGCCCCTCTGTGCTGGGCACTGGGGAGGCCCCACCTGGAGTGCTGTGTCCAGTTGTGGCCCCTCAGTGCCAAAAGGCCCTTGAGGGGCTGGAGCGTGTCCAGAGAAGGGAACGGAGCTGGGGATGGGTCTGGAAAACACATGTGCTGAGGAATGGCTGAGGGAACTGGGCTTGTTGAGTGTGGAGAAGGGGAGGCTCAGGGGGGACCTCATTGCTCTCTGCAATGACCTGAAAGGAGGTTTTAGTGGGGCAGGGGTTGGTCTCTTCTACCAAGCCTTTAGTGAAAGGTTGATAGGGAATGGCCTGAAATTGTGTTGGGCAAGGTTCATATTAGATATGAAAAAACTCTTTTTCCACTGAGAGAGTGTTCAGGCATTGGAACAAGTAGTCCAGGGAGGTGGTGGAGTCTCTGGAAGTGTTCAGGTGGCATCTGGATGTGGCACTTAGGGATGGGGTTTAGGGGTGATTCTTGTGGTGCTGGGTTGAGAGTTGGACTAGAAGATCTTGAAGGTCTCTTCCAACCTTGATGATTCTGTGATTCTGTGACCTGTCATGACAGTTTCCAGGTTTGTGCTCTAACAAGACCCTGGGGGTGTTTTCTCTGTTGGGTCGCAAACTTTGGGTTTTGAATCAAACTTTGGTTTATCAAGAGGTTTCTGCAACTCTCCTCAAAGTCTGATGTTCAGGGACTCATCCCCAAAGCCCTTGAGGGTCATGAAATGCCTGGGGCTGTTGCTGTGCTGCTGAGCTGGGCCAGGCTCCTGGCACACAGGGAGCTCCTGGCAAGCGGGCAGCGCTGCAGAGAGACAGCTCTGCTGGTGAGCAGCTCCTCTGCACAGCCCAGCAGGGCTGAGGGCACTGCCAGGGCAGCTCAGGGACACCAGCAGGGCACAGACACAGCTTCAAGGGGCTCAGCACTGGCAGGATGGCTGAGAGCTCCCTGCAGAAGGAATCTTGGCAGGGCTGCACATGGTGAGTCTGTGGCTGCAGGGCAGTGCAGGGGCAGCTCCTGGAGGCATCTCCTAAAGCTGGCCCAGCCCCAGCTGATGGGATGGGTGAGCAGGGGCTGTTTGGGGCACTTTGGTAGAGCTGTGAAGCCGGGGGTGCAGCCAGGGGTGCCCAGGGCTGTGGGGCAGAGCAGGGGCAGCTCCTGGAGGCATCTCCTAAAGCTGGCCCAGCCCCAGCTGATGGGATGGGTGAGCAGGGGCTGTTTGGGGCACTTTGGTAGAGCTGTGAAGCCGGGGGTGCAGCCAGGGGTGCCCAGGGCTGTGGGGCAGAGCAGGGTCCTGCAACCCAGGGCACTGTGCTGGGCAGGGACTCTGCTGCCTGCCAGGGGCAGCTCTCAGCCGGCCTGGGGAGCTGCTCCCAGGGCTGGGGCACAAGGGCTGTGGGCAAGGAGAAATCCCTTGTAGGTGAGGGCAGAATCCTTTTGATGCCATGGTGTTGCAGGGTCAGACCTGCTCACAACTCCAGATCACTACAAGATATTTAACAGGGAGGATTTGACGAAGCACACAAAGTCAGGGGTTTTGGATAGGCACTGGGACATAGAAATTGTTCTCAGTTTAGGAAGAAGCACTTAAATGCAAAGTCTTTTACTCTCAGAGATGAATAATTCAAGGACTCTCAGAAATCAGACAGGGTCCTGGGCAGTGCTGAGCCTTCCCTTGGGGGTTGGCACTCTCCCATCCCAGCCCTTTTCTTCTCTCCTGGACGGCTTGTGTCCTGAATTGTCCATCAGAGCTGTGCCTCTGGGCTGGCACAGAGGAGATTTCACACAGCTCTTCTCTCATCAAGAGAAGTGGTGTTATTAAACATTAATCTGTGTGTGAATTCACCTTCAAGGCAGCACAAGTTGAAACACAGGGCAGATGGGGAACTGCCTGAGGGACACTGCTGCTTTCCTGGCTCTGCACCAAGCCTCAGAGAGCTGAGCCCTTTTGCCTGTCTCTTCACACTCTCAGTCATAAAACTGAGGCTTTCAAAGCCTCAGATGAACATCTACCACAATAACAACACAACAATGAAGATTTGAGCCCCTGAAGCGATGATGGTGGAAAATAAAAAAACCCCAAATACTATTTTGAGGACATGCTAAGCCTCTGTTCTGTAGACCTCACTCCTTAGAGTTGTGAGTAATTAAAATGAATTTTTCCATAAAAGGTGGGTTACATCTGACATCCCCTGTGTCTGTCACAAACCAGCTCCATGCCCCCACTACAGCAGAGCAAAGCTGAGTTCTACACAGCACATGGCCAGAGCTCCTGCTCCTCACACCACCCTCAGCCAGCACAACCTAGAGAAAGGAAATGTATTTCAGTTTCAGTTTATTTCTAGGAAAAATGGGGCAGCTTTGCTCAGAAAGGTCTCTTCTTCCTTTTCTGAATC